TTTATGCACTCAAGAGCTGGGGTATAGGCCAGAGGTGTGGGAGGTGAGAGGATTACCAGAACAGGTGGATCTACTGAAATGTATTGCTGAGGGGAACAGCGGGCGAGACAGGAGAGGTCTGCTGCACCAGGTGGGTCAACTCCTGGCATGGGATCAAACTCAGGCAGTAGCTGTGATAGTGCTGAGACTTAACCCCAGGGCCACCAGGGAGGCCCCTATTTTAAACTTTTGCTTTTTCTCTTTTAGCTCTTTAATCTATTTGGAATTAATATTTATGGATAGTACAGATATTTTTTTATATGAAAAGCCAATTGTCACAACACTTTTTATTGAATATTCTGTTCTGTCTCACCAAATTGCAATGCCACTGCCCTCATAAATCACATTCCCACATTAGCTTGGATCTGTTTCTGGGCACTCTGTTCTATTGATCTTTTTGTCTAGCCTGCACCAATACCACATTATTTTAATTACTATCACTTTCAAGTAAGTCTTGGTATCTGGAAAGGGCTTGTTCTTTTTCAGAATTGTCTAGTTGCTTCTTGGTCCTTTGCTCTTATACAAGAATTTTACCGGTCTGCTTACATCTCTGAAAAATCTTATTGGGATATTTATCGGACTTGCACCGAATCACCGAATATGAAGAAGACTGTCTACATCTTTCCATTTATTCCTATGTAGCCTATAGTTTTAATAGGTTTAGAGCCTATAGTTTTTCTTTATAAATATCTTTTGTAAGTTTTGTTCTGTGTTCTATACAATTTTAATTTTAGTTTGAATGTTTTTTTTAAAAGATGGTTTTTCTAGAAACTAAAAAGATAGTTCCCAATAAATTATTGCTGCATGGAAACACTGTTGAATTTTGTGTTTTATTTGTATTGGATGTTGTTTCTGCCCAGCAACCTTGCTGCTCTCTCTTAATAATCCAAATAACATGCCAGTAGAATTCGCTTTTCTATATAAATAATCAAGTCATCCGCAAAAATTGTCAGAGATTTTGTTTCTTTTATTTTCCTAAACCGTCTATCACTAAGTGGTGGCTACTAAATCTGACTGCTCGCAGCATTCAGGTTGTGCCCAGTGGGCTGGCCCTGGGCAGCTACTGCTTGCACTGTCAGTTATAAATAAATAAAAGACCCCTTACTTTCTACAGTCTTTGCCCCTTACAAAGCACTTTCGCTTCCATTATCTCATTGATCCTATTGCCCCACTTCAAGGAGAGTCTCAGTGGAGAGGGCTCTGGATCGAGCTGTGCAGACTGCGCTGTGGGACAGAGGCGCGCCCCACCCCCTGCTCTTTCTCCTGTAAGTAAAAAGTTTGGCCAGGAATGGTCTCTGGCTTTCACAGACTCGTAATTGATGGTTTTAAGCGGTCACGAGGCAATAAGAACCCCCTTTAAAGCTTCAAGTTCAAAGATAAAAAGGGTGGGGGAAGGACTCTGGGTACTTAGGTACCCAGGCTCGTGCCCCTGAGTGCTGTGGGGGTGGGGGAGAACGTGGACATGTCCTTGGAAGCCACAGGGCTGACAAAGATGATGGGCAAGGTGGAGAAGCGGGCACAGTGCCCAGCCCTCTGCTTCCCAGCGGATTCTCCTCGTTTGGAAGAACATCCCCGGGACCCGGAAGAGGAGGACGAGGCCGGGCTCCAGGCCCCGGGTTCCCTCCTCTGTCGCCCCCTCCAGCTGCAGCGCGCCCAGCACGCACTTGTGACGCGCATCCCTAGCCCCGGGCGGCGCGCTCAGCTGCTTCCGCCCCCCGCCCGCCCCGCAGCTCCGCCCCAATATCGCGCAGGCGCAGCTCTGGACCGGAGCCAGCAAATGCGCCCTCTCGTGCGGACTGACGGATCGCACCCTTTGTTATGGGGGTGGGGGCAGCCAAGGATGTAAGGTAGAAAGATGCGAGGGGAGGAGTCTGGAAGGCAGATACGACGCTCAGATCACTATGACGAAAATCCCTTTCCTTTGTCCCCCATGACAACACACAGATGCAGATGAAAATACGGCCCTCAAAGATCAAGAGACTTCGGGAGATAGGGTTATAGGGACTGAAATGGAATAAGATAGTTGGGAAGATGATGCATTCATTCAACCAATCATTCATTCATTCTGCAAACCTTCACTGAGATGGGGAGAGACTGGGACAAAGGACTAGAGGGATTAAACTGGGACAATGAATGCCGGGCAGAGATCAACCGAAAGCAGAAAACTGAGGAGACTGCCGGTGGCAAAGCAGCAGGAACACAGCCGGCCCGCTGAGGGCAGGGCTGGGGTTGCCCAAATAAGCAAGGGCTGCGAGCCCGGCTGGGCTTGCGGAGACTGACACCGCACGGTGCAGAGACCTGACCCTCCAGTTCTCCAGGAGCCTGCTTTAACTGGAGAGGAGCAAATTGGGAGGTCGAGATGCATCCGACAGCTTGAGCACCAGGAGGGACATTGGAGCAGTCAAATATGTTCAAAAGTTCATAATTATGCCTCTACTAAAAAAAAAAAAATCTTTTTGGTCCGTGTTTGGAGGTTGCTAGGGAATCTACCCATTATTTCAAAATCGGTAAATGCAGAAACAGAGCCAAGGTTTTAGCCTGTGTTTTCTATACGAGCTGTGCCACTCAGTAACAACATGGTTAGAGAGGGGCAGTGTCTCTGTCCAGAATCATTCCAACTAATGGAGGAAGGAGTGATCAGATTTGAAAACCATCATTAAAAAAAAAAAGTTGATGGATGAGGCACCAAGCTCAGTGGCTCAATGGCCACTGTGCCTTGAGCTGGGAGAAGCAGCACCACCAAGTGGTCTTTTTAAAAAAATCGCCCTACACCTGATACAGAACTCCAACTACAGTTCACAGGAAATAACAATGTACAGGAAATACGATTTACAGGAAGTACAGTGGCCAGAGGAACGTGTTAAGGAACAAAAGAACATCAGCGAAATACAGTCAGCAAAATACAGACTTTGGAAAACTACATAATGAACGACCTGTTCCCTCAAGGAAAGAAAAAAAAACAGGGAAGGAGAGATGGGGAAGGGTTTGAGAGCGTGGAGGGGGTGCCTATAGAGTTACAGAACTTTGAAAGAGACCGAGCAGTCAGTTGCAATGTGTGCACCTTATCTGGATGTCGAGTCAAGTAAATGCATCATAAAAGAGCCAAACAGACATGTATGAAAAATTGGATATCTGAACTCTATAGATCAGATATTTAGGAATTATTTTTAACTTGAAGGAATAGTAATGTGATGGGGTGTAACAACTATGGTTATGGTAAGTAAAAAAGGTCATTGTCTTTCAAAGATACTGAAATATTGACAGTTTAAATTAAATGGGGGGGGCCTCCCCGGTGGCGCAGCGGTTGAGCGCTGGGTTGCGGGGCTCCCTGCAGCCTCTGCAGCGCCGGTTCGATCCCCGGTTGCTCCCCGGCCACCAGAGGAGGGTCCCACCTGGCGCGCAGACCTCTCCTGCCGCCCGCTGCTCCCCTCAGCAGTGTACTTCGGTCCTTCTGCCTGCTCTGCTCCCCGCTCTGGCTCTGGTGAATTCTCTCACCCTCCCGCGCTTCTGCCTGTACCCAGTGCTTGCATAAATAAATAAATAAATCTAAAAAAAAAAAATAAATAAATAAATTAAATGGGGGGAGGGGGAGAGGGAATGGTACAGATGAAAGTGTTAGGGGGAACAGGATGTCCTAAAGCTAATCCCATACAGGCTTTGTGGACTCCACCCCCACCCCAGGCCAAAGCCAAAGACACTGGGAACTCCAAATCCCATCCCCGCCAAAGGGAAGGTGGCTGGGACCTGAGGGTGGGGTTAAGCAGCCAGGTTGGTATAAAGCCAGACACGTGGGCTTTGGGGGTTCCCCCATTTTGGCTCTCCGCCAGCTCGCAGCCTCTGGCCAACTCTGAGAGTGCTTTTTGGGTTTCCAGGTCGGCGGATCAGGTAGGACGCATTAAAGACTTTATTTCCCTATTTTCTCCCTGAATTGTACATTTTCCTTATTTCCCTTTCCCTTGTAAATAAACCTTTTATTAACCTTTTGTGTGTGCCTGTAGTGGAGTCTTAATAAGTCCCTTGTAAGCGCGCGGGTGAGGACCCACAGCCAGGAACCCGTTCAATATCGGGGCTGCCCTATACCAAAAGGAGGTTGGTGGTAAATTGATAGTCCCTGAAGCTGGTGATAGGTATCTGAGGGCTCATTAAATTATTCTGTATGTTTTTGTTTGATAAAAAATTCTTTCCCGGGCCTCCCCGGTGGCACAGATGGTTGAGCACAGCGCTGTGAAGCTGTCCGCAGCCTCCGCAGTGCGGGTTGGATCCCGGCCGGCCAGGGAGATACCCACATGGCACAGCAGACCTCTCCCGTCTCACCCGCTGCTCCCCTCAGCAGTGTATTTCAGTAGATCTGCCTGTAATGTTCCCTGCTCTGTCTCTGGTGAATCCTCTTACTCTCCCACACATCTGGCCTGTACCCCGGTTCTTGTATGAGTGAATAAATAAATCTTTAAAGAAAAATTTTTTTTTTCCAAAATAAGAAGTGTAAAGACCCTATGACTCCCGTCTGTCCTTCCCTTCCTCCCCCTACCCTAGCCAAGCAGTCCAGGGAACAGAAAGTGTGGAGTGTTCCAGCAGCGGCTCACAATCCAGACAGCTGTGAGGTGGGAGGTCCCTGGAAGACCAGAGACTTTCAGGGGGCTTCCAGCTAGGCCCTGGTGAGGTCCCTGGCTCCGGCAGTTTCGGGAAGGGGAAAAGGATAGGTAGGAAAGCTGGCTTCTGGGGAACTGATGGCATTGGGTTTGGGTACTGCCTCCTTAAGACAGCTAAGGGTATGAGAGGGTGGCTTCAAAAATAGCAGGGGAGGCAGCAGGGGGAGGAAGGGGAGTCACATGGAACCATGGAGGGGCTGAGGCCTGGGCAGCTGGCCAGGCCCTGGCACCTCGGCCTGCTCCCCCAGAGTCCTCTGCCTCCAGAACCTTCCTTCCTCTGGCTTCCATCTCTGAGAAGGCATCAAGGTGACTCTGGGACAAACTGCCCTGCCTGAATGGATGCTGACTCTGAAATTTGGTGGCTCTCCAGGGACAGGTAGGATGGTCAGGTGGGTAGAGAAAGACAGGGACAAGGACTGAGTAACCTGGTCACTGTTTACCCCAATCTGCAAGCTGACACTTTTGGGCCCTGGCTGACTCATTACAGGTCTCAGACGTCCTTGCCTGGGGCATTGGATTATAGGGGTGGGGAACACTGGGAACAAGACCCTTTATCTCAAGGGACAGGAAGCATGTCACAGGCACTCAGAATTTTGGAACCTTGGCACTCACAGCCCTCCGCCTCCTTCTCAGGGACCCCGGGGAGAGTCTGCTTCATCTCTGTGGGTGGAAAGCCCCAATCTCTTCACCTCAATAAAGAGCCTAGGCAGGTGCAGGAAGGAGGCAGAAGCAAGGTCCCACCTATGATCCCATCCATGGCATCACTGATTGAGTCAGAGTGGGGCTAAGCTCATCCACAGTATGGCCTTGAGGAAGTTCTGCCCCCCCACGGGTCTCAGTTTTCTCATCTGTGAAAGGCGACAGGGGTTATGCTTGCCTCGTGGGGCTGCTTGGAGTGGAATGCCTTCCCACATGTAAATCTGCATGAAGACTCTGGCCTGGTAGCCACCATGCCAACTCCACACAGCCAGGGTCTGCTCATGTCTGCACCCCAGGCACCTAGCAGGTGCTTCCTAATGTGTGCTGAATCCTCCAGAATAACACCAAGAGGCAAATACTGTGGTTTCTGGCTTGTAGACATGGAAACGGGGCCTAGATGGTGTGGTTGACTCTTTGAAGGCTGCCCCACAGTGCCAGACGGAAGTTACCTCGTTCATGTCCTGGCCCTGCAGGCCTGGGCCACGTCCTCCACTTTGCCGTCTATCGGATTGGTCCCGTCCGGACTCTCTCTTGTCCCAGATCTGGAGTATATGCTGGGGTGCTTTGTCTGGGGACCAGGTCTTCGTGAATAGTACCCTCGTGTGCTGTTAGGAAAGCCGTCACCCTAACCCCTTACACCTAGCAGTTGCCGGGTGCCCTGGCAGGCTGAGGGACACAAAGGCGAGATCCTTCTGCTTCCAGTGATGCTGGGAGGTGGGGCTGTCCTCAGGGGTGAAGGGGCTCCCAGCTTGGGCTAAGCAAAGAAGGGAGCACAGAAAGACTTCAGAGAGAGGAGCAGGGCTGTGCTGGCTCCGGAAAGGTAGGTGAGACTTGCTGGTGGATGAGGGTGGAAGAGGTAGCAGGGGTTGGCTTATGCAAAGGTGTTGTGAGAGCTTATCAGGTTGGGGCCAGCTGGGGGCTGGGCAAAAGCCTGGGTATTGGGGGTGGGGGGGAGGGGATTTTAGACAGGATGGCCAGGTGAAAAAAGGATCTACGGGGGCGGGAGCTGGGGGGGGGGTGCGGTTCCCCTGTGGCGCAGCGGTTGAGCAGCTGAGTTGCGAAGCTGCCCGCAGCCTCTGCAGCACCAGTTTGATCCCCGGCTGCTCCCCAGCCACCAGAGGAGGGTCCCACATGGCGCGCAGACCTCTCCTGCCGCCCGCTGCTCCCCTCAGCAGTGTACTTCGTCGGTCTGCCTGTTCTGCTCCCAGCTCTGGCTCTGGTGAATTCTCTCACCCTCCCGTGCTTCTGACTGTACCCAGTGCTTGTATAAATAAATAAATAAATCTTAAAAAAAAAAAAGTCCTGCCTTAAAAAAAAAAAAAGGATTTACTGGGGAGCCGGGTTGTGGTACATGGCTGGATTGTTGGTGGGAGGTCTGCACCCAAGGGGAACAATAACTATAGAAAGATGACCCACAATATAAGAAAATAAAAAAAAAGAAAAGAAGGGCCTGAAATCAGCAGCTGGGGCATTCAGGGCAGTGGAGCCCTTCGGGCTTGAAGGGGCACTGAGATGGTCAGGTTAGCGCTTAGAAACCTGCCCTCTCCAGCTGGAGGGCGAGGGGAGGGCCCTGTGGTGTGAGGAGGCAGTCCACCCTCTGTTCAGTGGCTGCTCCAGTGGCAACGGGGAGGGCCCCAGGGCTGAAACCAGGGCCCAGCTCCGCCAGGGCCACCCCCCTGTGCCTCCCTCCCTCCTCCCCCCCTGCTCCTGTCTCTGTCACTCACTGGCCAGGCCAGGCTGGGGCAGCCATGGCAGCAGCGCTATCCTGGATTCTTCTCCTTGTGGGCAAGTCGGGGCCTTCTTCAGGGGAGAGGCCAGGACAGGCTGAGATCTAGGCATGATAAGTGGAAGTAGGGAAGGTTCTATTTCATTGGTGGGGGTTGAGGCAAGGGCCAAAAAGACTTTGGGGAGTTAATGTCAAGGCTGGCACAGGATCCAGGAGCTGGGGTTGGGGGCTGGGCGCTGGACTCTGGGGGCTGAGAATGCTGAGGGTCCGGGTGTCCTGGGCCCCAGGTGAGCCTGACCGCATAGGCCTAGAGGGTCGTGGGCCCTTTAACAGGCTGACTGGGCGGGAGGTTTTCTAGGCCCTGGCTAAATTTGGCTCTAGGAGAGAAGGCAGGGCCGCTGGGGCCCAGGATTCCTTTTGCTCGGCTCTATTGGCCTCTAGTGTGGCGGGGGATCCCCTTGTATATTAGGGAAGGAGGGAGTGGGATCTCAGAATGGCTACCCCCCTGCTCCAAAGGTCTTTGGGTTCTTCGCAGCACCCATCACCCTGGCTTCCTCTAAGGAACCACCAAATTCTTAAAGTTTCTTTCTCAGGTGTCCGTTGGACACACACACCAATCCTGGCCGACATCAGTCTCTGCCCACTGTGACTCCCAACAGGAGCTAAAATAAGGAGAAATGAGGAGGGGGCTCCCTGAATCCAAACAAACCAGTCTCAGGGTTTTGAACTGTGTGGCATAGCTGGGGAGGGGAGAGTTGCTCTTTTCCTGGGCACTTGCAAAGGAATCCCTTCCACTCACATATTTCTCAGTCCCTTAGGAGCACCAGGGTTAGGGGCCGAGATGTGGGGCAGCTTCTCTCTGTCCCAGGACTGAGCCTAGTCCATGTGTTTGGGGTTCCTGGCTTCCCCACAGGTCTTCTGGCAGGGCTGGGGGGCACGGCGGCCCTGCAGCAGCAGACCACCCTGCACCCGCTGGTGGGACGTGTCTTTGTGCACACCTTGGACCAGGAAACCTTCCCTCACCTTCCTGAGCACGCAGGTGAGGGGGCCCCGTGACACTGGTGTGGACTGGGGGTGCCTTGCCAGGGTTGTTGAAACTTTGACTATGTCTCTTATCGCCTGTCCTTATTCCACCAGCTGTCCCACACACCGTCCCCATCACCTACCATGCGCACCTCCAGGGACACCCAGACCTGCCCCGGTGGCTCCGCTACACCCAGCGCAGCCCCCTCCATCCTGGCTTCCTCTATGGCACTGCCACCCCCGAAGATAGAGGGCGCCAGGTCATTGAGGTACCATCAGGGACCCCGGTGGGCTGTGTTGCCTGCTGGGATCGGTGTTCCAACATGTTCATTTATGTAATTTACATCCAGGCCCCAGCCTCGGTTTCTTGTTTCTGGTTGGGCCACTCAGCCCCCTTCCCCACCCCCACCAGGTCACAGCCTATAATCGGGACAGCTTCGACACCACGCGGCAGAGGCTGGTACTGTTGATTGAAAACCCAGAAGGTACCTCCAGTCCCACCATAAGCCCTTCCCACTATTCTTAGGGGGAATCTCCTCTAGAAGGAGGGGTATGTGAAAAGGAGAGACTTAGAGAACAGTGGGGGACAGGGCATCCTGGGAAGACTCTGGAGGTGTATTCTTGGTGGCTCTGCACAATCTGTGGGATCTTGGTGAGCCATTGAGGCTGTGGGTGCTAGGGAAGGACTCTGGGGTATTAGGGAGGAAGGAAGGGCCTGAGGGAACACAGGGAGGTGCTTAGCAGGGGGCAGAGGGCTTGAGAAGGATCCATGTAAGCCTGAGGTGCCCACCTGCACCCCTAGGCCCCCTACTTCCCTACCAGGCTGAGTTCCTGGTGCGCAGCCATGATGTGGAGGAGGTGCTGCCCTCTGTACCTGCCAGCCGCTTCCTCACCACCCTGGGGGGACTCTGGAAGCCAGGGGAGCTCCAGCTGCTCAATATCACCTCTGCCTTGGACCGTGGGGGCCGTGTTCCCCTTCCCATTGAGGGGCGCAAGGAAGGGTAGGTGTGCAACCCAGGAGGTCTTCCTGAAGGAGGAGGAGGCAGCTTGCTTTTTGTCTGGGTGGTGGGCAGAGAACACTGGTCTCCCTAGTTTCTCGGTGGGGCTGTACCCATCAGCATCCACTCTTAGCTGCACCTCCCAGTCTCACATCTCTGTCTGCGTCCCTCTGGCCACCTTCATCACCCTCTTGCACCTTGTGGGCCCAAACCCTAGCTACCTTGAACTCTGCACTTCCTGGTGCCCCATGAGGACATAAAACATCCATCCATCCTGGACATTCTAGGAGGGATAGGCCCGAGATGACTGCTGTGCTCTGTGTACTCTCACTGTAATCCCAGATCTCAGGGGACCCTGGGACCCCCAAATCTCCAGTGCCTGATCATTCCCCCACTTGCTGACAGTGACTTCTTTCTGGGCCCAGGGTGTACATCAAGGTGGGCTCGGCCTCACCCTTCTCCACCTGCCTGAAGATGGTGGCATCTCCCGATAGCCACGCACGCTGTGCCCAGGGCCAGGCTCCACTTCTGTCCTGCTATGACACCTTGGCACCTCACTTCCGTATTGACTGGTGCAATGTGTCCCTGGTGAGGAGGGCCCCTGGTTCTCTTTTTGGGGTGGGGCATGCGCTCATCAGTCTTCTTCCCCCCACCTTCTCATCCCAGTCCTCTGTGCCTGTTTCACTTTCTCTGGTTATCTGCATTCTCTCTGTCTCTGTCTCTCAGTCTCTCTCCCTGACACACACACACACACACACACACACACACACACACACACCCACACACACCCCCCCCACACACACCCTCCCTTCCATCTTCTCCCACAAGAGGGCGACAGAGTCCATCACCCAGACAAGGCTTGTAGCTGCCCAAGTCCTGTAAGTGTCACCCGCCCACAGGCCAGTCCCAAACCCCTTCCCGGCTAAGGGCCTCTGTGTGACAATTCTGCCTCGTTCTAAGGCACCACTTAACAAATTCGCCGCAGGTAAGAAACAGATGGCTCTAAGGAACATACTTACCTAAGGTTACCTCTCACTCCCATGTTATAAACAGACGCTCCTGCGCTTGGGGGTGTGGAGGGTCCTAGACCTGCAGTTCGCAGCCTGGGAACCTGCCCTGCTCTCTGGGTTCTGCGTGTCCAGGCAGCTGCTTCTGGGTCAGCTCTGGGTTCTCTGAGCAGGTGGATAAGTCAGTGCCAGAGCCTGCGGACGAGGCGCGCGCCCCAGGGGACGGCATCCTGGAGCACGACCCATTCTTCTGCCCTCCCACTGAGGCCACCGCCCGAGACTTCCTGCCCGACGCGCTGGTCACTCTCTTGGTGCCCCTGCTGGTGGCCCTGCTGCTTACAGTGCTCCTGGCCTACATCATGTGCTGCCGGCGGGAGGGCAGGTGAGTGCGGGGCCAGAGGGGGCATCCATGCACCTCATGGCCCTTGGGTTCTGTGGCCACCCAGCCCCCTCAGAGGGTGACCCCTTTTGGGCTGAGGGGAGCTCTGGTCCTGCCTGGTCAGCTGCTGGAAGGGGTTGTGACTAACAGCCAATCCCTTCACTGTCATCCCCACAGGCTGAAGAGAGACCTGGCCACCTCTGAGTGAGTAAGGGGAAGAAGGGGCTGGGTGGGACCCCCCATGGTCAAGCTGGACCCTCTCAGCACCACGGACTACATAGACAAACCAAATTATCTTGACCTCTGAGCTCCCTGCCACTGGATGCTGGACCTGACCTCTCCTGGTTGGCCACTTCCTTTTCAGGGGTGCATGGAGAGTCTACTGTGGGGTAGAAAGAGGGGAGGGACCTGGCCAGGCTTGGGGATCTCCTGCCATCCTGGGGGAAAGGGTTTGAGAGGCGATTAGCTCTTTCTCTCTCTCACCTATGGGCCAAACCCTTGGGTTCTGGCAAGCAGGGTTGCGCCAGTTTCCTTGGTCCTTTCTGGCCTCAGTTTCTCCTCTAGCAAGGTGATGTGCTTGGACTAGGTAATGCTTGTAGCCACTTTCAGTTCCTCGAGCCCTTCCAGAGCCATCTCTTATTTTGCCCAAGTTTCTCCCATCCACAGCCTGATCCCGCCTCAGTGCCCCCAATCTCTTCTCCTACCTTTCCCTTGAACCCCAAAGATTCCAGGAAGCAGGTGTGAAATAAGGGAGGCTCCTTTTATTCCCATGGCACCAAGCCCTTGGCAGGCCCAGTGCCCCCGCCAGCTCTCCGGCCCTGCCTCCTTAATTGCGGCGGCTCTTGGCCGCCCTCCGGACTCCCTTGAAGAGCCGCTTTTGCCCCTGTCTGGAGCCCAGAAGCAACTTGCGCTGCTCGGGCCGGCGCTGCCCAGGCCGGCGCAGCCCCTGAAGGCGCTGTCCCCTCTGGAGCCGCCTCGACTGCTGACGCTGATGCAGCTGCTGTCTCTTGGCCTTGAGCTTTAACTTGGAGGTGTGGTTCTTGCCCATGCAGAAGGAGCCCAGGGCTCCCTTGCCGGTCACCTGCTTGAGCATGCCCTTCTCCACCAGCCTCTTGAGCACCAGCTTGAAGCGCCAGGCATTGTGGGTCATGTTGTAACCGGTGGTGGCCACAGCCTTCTTCAGGGTGGCCAGGGACACATGGTGGCGTGTCCCTGCATCCTCCACGGCCCTCAGGATCACCTTGGATATGCTGGGCTTCCGGTGGATCTTGGGGTTCTCAGTTTCACTCTTGCTAGGGACCCCCGACACACTGGCCTGTGGGCCTGCGCCCACTGCAGTGTTTGAGGCCGTGGGCACAGGAGGGGGTGGCAGCAGGGTGTCTTTCTGCATCTCTCCCTGGGGTGGCTGAAGGGAACTGGGTGTGAGGACCTCCAGGATGGCAGCTGGAAGTCTCCACAGGCTTGCCCCTCGGCGGGTGAGGTGTGTCCCGGGTCCTGGTTCCCTCAGAGGCTTCCTCGTTAGGCTGCAGGGCCCCGGCCACCACTTCCCCTGGGTGGCCAGAAGGAGGACCAAGGATGATCGCCCACAGCTGGCCTAGCACACTTGTGCCCGGGACATGGGGGGTGGCTGAGTTATCTCTGTGGTGACCTCAGGGGGACATTGTGAGGCCACCAGAATCCTGTGAGGGTCACAGTGGCCCTATTGTTCCCTCCTGGGAGTGTGTGGCATCTGACATGGCAAGCACCCCAGGAAGAAGGGTGGGCTACTAGGGACCTGCGTGTGTGTTCACACATGTGCACACGTTTCTGTGCACTGGCGCCCGTCAATTTCGGGGTGCTCTGAACCCCCAGCTTTAAACCCCCGTTTTGATGCCACCATCTCAACACATTGGGTTGAGGAATACATTTTTTTTTTTTTTAATAGAGGCATGTTTTATTTATTTATTTGTTTGTTTGTTTTGTTTATACATGCACTGGGTACAGTCAGAAGCGCTGGAGGGTGAGAGAATTCACCAGAGCCAGAGCGGGGAGCAGAACAGGCAGACTGACGAAGTACACTGCTGAGGGGAGCAGCGGGCGGCAGGGGAGGTCTGCGCGCCATGTGGGACCCTCCTCTGGTGGCCGGGGAGCAGCCCGGGATCGAACCGGCGCCCCAGAGGCCGTGGGCAGCTTCGCAACCCAGCGCTCAACCGCTGCACCACCAGGGAGGCCCGAGGAATACATTTTTTAGAATCAAAATCATACTAACCTTTATGAATTTTTATGGGGAATACATTTTCCAGAGTGAACAAAGGCGTATGAAATTTTTTCATCTACCTAAATTGATTCAATCTCTTAATCAACTACACAAAGCAAATGAAAAGGCCTTTATACTCCAACTTTTTTATTTGGTAGACTTTTTCCCACTGGGATCAGTGATTTTCTAACATAAATTTTATGGGGAGGATTTTATCCCTTAATTTTTACAGGGAGAGGGCTGTACTGGACATGATCAATTACACCTTCTATCATTGTAGATATTCTCTTGTCACCTGTGGTTTCCACCACAGCCAGCTTCCCTGGGTCAGTTTCGAGGCTCAGTTTGGTGTCAGTAAAATTGGTTTTGAATTGGTTCTTCCATCGGTTTTGAATCAATAACCAATTTTACTATGTGAGATATTCGCCCTTGTTGGTTTGGATTTTGTGCTGATTTATATTTATGAAATCCAATTTTTTTGACTTGATCAATGTCTACCATTTTTCAAATTGTCCATAGATGGTGATTCGGCTGCCTGTTTTCCACTATGTCAAATTTTACTGGCCAGAAAGTGCTCCGGCCTGAGGAGCCTCTCCTGTGGCCTATGAGCCAGAGGCAGGACTTTGGGGGGCTGTGTGATGGTGGTGGAGTGAGTGTGGGTGTGGGTGAGACCTCAGGCCACGCGGGGAAGCATGCACGCCTTTGTGCCTGTGTGCAGCAGGATGGCTGCCCATTGCTCACTGGTCTATCAATTGCTAATGCGGGAGGACCCTAGGAGAAGGCACGGTGGGTCTGGTTTCTGCTCAGGCTCTGGAAAAACATTCCCAGAGCATTTTTCCACCTGTGTGTGTTGCCAGTGTAATGAGACCCAGATGTGGGGCTGGGGGCCAGGCGGAGACCCATTAAAGCCCTTCTGCTACAGGGGGGCCATACCTGCCTGCCTGCCTCCAGCCCTCAGCTTCCGCGCACTTCTTGTGCCCTCTCCCCTCTGCCTCCCCTGGCCTGGGAATGGAAAATTGTGCTTGGACAACTCTGCCTGCCAAATTCCAGACTTAAGAGCTCATCTTGACCCTCCCCTAGCCTTGGAGGTTGACTCCACCTCCTCCCACCCTCCCGCTTGGCAGGACTTGGTCCTGCCCCCTGCAGGAGACATCAGCAAGCTCATTGCTCATTGGGAAGCCAGAAAGACCTGGGGGTGTGGGGGGATGGGGCGCGGCGGGGGTGTCTAACCTCTCAGGCTTCAGCTGGAGTCTGGTCCATTGACTGAGACTTGGGTGTGGGTGGAATCACTTCCCCTCCCTACCTAGGCTCCCAGACCCTCTGAGAAACGCGGTTCTCATGTATGACAAGCCCCTGCTGTCTGTCTGACCCGGCAATCAGGTAGTCTAGGAAACTGTCTCCAGGCTGGCCCATGAATGTGGGTTTGTGTAAAGGGGCTTGAAAACTTCCCTCTACTGGAGGCCAAGTTTATTAGGGGACCTACAGTAGGAAAACCAACAATGACACCAATAGTGCCCACTTGCTGCATGCTGGTGGGAAGCCAGGCCGAGTGTTTTAACTCATTCTGCTTTCCTACTGAGGAAAAGGCAGCACAGAGAAGTTAAGTAACTTGCACAAGGTCACACAGCCACTAAGCAGTGGAACTTATGTTCAAACCTGAAGTAAGATCTCATGCTTACTCTGATTTCTCAAAATGAGTTAGTTTACCGTGACAGCAGAAAGCAAGCCCATGAGAATGTCAAATGAGAACAGGCTGAATCTTCTGAGGGAAAACTGGAGCTAGAGGTCTGGAAGGACTTCTGGATGGGTGTGGTGGACAGTTCTTTTCATTGCAGTTGGGATTTCCAGCCCATGGAGGGTGGAGCCCAGTGCCAGCTTTGGGGAGACTGGTTCTGAAATGAAGACAGAGAGAAAAGACTCTGTTTCTGGAGGTTGTCAGTGCTAGGGGCAGGCTGGGCTGAGGACGGGGGGCCAAGGTACAGAGGAGGGGAGCCCAGGTCTGATGAGTGGAAAGAGGAGACAGTCAAGGCCTGGCAGGACATGGGGAGGGGAGTCCTGGAAGGGGGACAGCTTGGGCAAAGGCTAGGAGGTGGGAAAATGTGGAGGGACTGGGCCTGCCAGAGCAGAGGGGTGGGAGGGAGAGGATTGCACGTTCAGTGGAGAAACTATTAGGGGAGAGAGCTGAGAGCTCTAGGGGCCCAGAAAGTCATCAGCACATAAAAGCAGAAGATAAAGCCCAGCAAAACCTGGCCTCTGGTAATACTCTGGACAGGCATCTGCTCACGTCTTAGTGTCTATCTTAGGAGTTCCTCCCATGTGCCACCTGCTTTTCTAAACACCCAGCTGCATTTTCTCTCTTAATCCCCACAACTATCCTGGGAGGGCTCTAGGAAATAGGTTTTGTTATTTATTATTTATAGTTATAGAAACCAGGCACAGAATGATTAGGCACCTTGTGAAGGACACAGAACCTTGAATCCAGCCTATCTGCACCCAGAGGCCATGTCTCATCACTGGTCACTGAGTTGACACCATAGAACTTCCTGTTTGTCACCGCCCACCCCCCATGCATGTGACTGCCCCCCCCCCCCATAGCAGTGGGGAAGCCTGCAGTGTGGTTTAGAGGCAGGGCCAGACTGGGCCCTGGGCAGAGGCTGACTCCCAGGGCTGGCCTTTGGCCTGCTTTGTGGCCCAGCATCCAGATGGTCCACCACTGCACCATCCGAGGGAACACGGAGGAGCTGCGGCAGATGGCAGCCAGCCGAGAAGTCCCCCGGCCACTCTCCACCCTGCCCATGTTCAACGTGCGCACAGGCGAGCGGCTGCCCCCCCACGTGGACATCGCCCAGGTGCCCCTCATCCTGGACCAGCACTGAAGGCCTCCCAGGTGGGTCCAGGTGGGCAGTGCCAGCCTCAGTTCTGGGTGTAAAGTGACCTCTGTCTCAAGTCTGGGGCAGGTGATGGGGGATGAGGGAGGTCAAGGAAAGGAACATAGAGCCCTCCTCTGGGGCAGCAGTAGGCTGTGCCTACCCCCTTAAGCCAAACACTGGGTTAGAGGTTAGGGTGGGACAGGCAGGAGAACTAGGGCCTGGTTCTCACAGTGGGCCTCACTCTCTCTTCCTTCTGCTGTTCCAGTTCCAGCCCTGGCCTCATCGTCCCTTCCCTCTCCACTCGCAAGCAGCCGTGAGCAAGGCCACATCGGCCCCCCCCCCCCCCCCCCCCCCCCCCCCGCCCCTGCTTGATCTGGCTCCTGACCCGAGGGAAGAGGTAGAGAGGTGGCATGGTGTGGTGAGCGTGTCTGGGGTCAGGACTCCCAGAATAAATACCCGCAACTCATCTACTAGTAGCAGGTCTGTCTCTCTATAGCCTTCCCCGCTGCAGCCCTCCTTGCCTTGGTTTCCCTTTCTGCCTTCTGAGAGCCCCCAGAGGCAGCCGGGACTGCAGCCTGGCCTTTGCGCTCAGCATTCACTGGGCTCTCAGATGCTCTGGAAGAGTAGTGGTGCACAGCATGGGTCTTAAGAGAGTCTCCAGAGCCCCAGATTGCCCCAGGCCCCCCTCCCCTGTCCTCACTTCCCAGAATCCCCACCTTCAAAATATGTTCTGACTCCATCCACTCTCACAGCCTCCGCTCTGAGCTTCCCGGTCCCCACCAGGATCTCGGTGCTGGACCCCTGTTCCTGTCTCTCTGTGGTCTCCCTGCCCCTCCAGTCCTGGCTTCCGGGGGTGGGAGAATTGGAGGCCAGCTCCTTGCTTCCCTGTGCTTCCCAGCTTTGCTTGGGATCTTGGCAGCGCCTTCCCCCGGCTCAGGCCCAGGAGCACACGGGAGCCTGGCTGCCGGCCTGGGAGGAAGCGGCCCAGACAAGTAGCCCGAGCATGGCGTGACTGCTGAGGACATGGAGCAGGGCCTGGCACACACGTGCACCCCTACCCGCCCCCGCACCTGGGGAGGCCACAGGCCTCCTATTCACTGAGGGGAGGGGGCCCCCCTGCAGTGATGCCCCCCTCAGCACAGCAAATAGCCAGTGTCCCCCCAACATTCCCTGAGATAAGCTCACACCCCTCCGCCTTGGCTCCTCCAGCCCACAGCCCTGCCCACTTCACCCCTGACATGGCTGACTCCAGACCTTTCCTCACCACTTCACAGTGGGGGTCTCTGTCAGATGCAGGGCCCAGGGCATTGCCTGAACTGACCTCAGCCCCCTCCCCTTACTTTTACCCACTTCCCCCTTCCTTTTGAAACACATACCCCATTTCATAGACATCTCCTCTGGTGTGTTTGTGGGGGTTGGGGTCAGAGCGACCGGGCCTCAGATTGGGGCTCTAGGGCATCAAGGCCACCTGCGGCCACTGAGCACTGAAGTGTAGCCAGTCCCAATAGGGCTGACCTGACGTGACATGATAGCATTTGGAGATATACTGGTTAATTAAAAATGTCACTAGAATTAGCTTCACCTTTTTTCATTCTTGTAACACAGCTGCTGGAAATCAGAAACTCACACGGGTGCCTCCCTAGGGATTTTGACCAGCAGTGCTGGCTCCGTGGCTCCTCCCTGAGCGCCGCTCCAGCTCCATCCAAACCCAGAACAGGCCCCACTTCCATTGGCCCCCTTCCCGCGGTGCCCGCAGGACCGCCTGGCCCATCCAGCCTCTGTGGGCACAGCCGCGTTCTCCAGAGGCCTGGAGGGGTTGTCCCATGACAGGGAAGTCACCCAGAACTGGAGCACGTGGCCTCCTTGTTCTGATAGGTGCTTTGTTCCCGCTGCACCCCGTCTTCCTCTCCCCCCACTGTCTCACGCAGAGAAAACCCCACACTCTCCAGCACCGGTGGGCACCGAACTCATCTCCCTCGGGCCTTGCCACGCACATCCTCTGCAGAGCATCGAAATCTCCACGCCTGTAAGGGCTGTCACCACCACAGACAAGGGCTTTTCCCTCTAATGTCTTTCCTCCTGGATGCAGGAGGCTCTCAGCCCTCCAGGCCTCACACCAGGAAGGGGACACAGAGACACAGCCCCTTCCCAACGCTAGGGCACCATGGCCCTGGGGCTTTAGGACCACGGTCTCCAGATTTCCCGTTTCCCTGCTCCCCCTGCCCCTACTCACCCTCATTCACAGGAACAGACTCTCCCATGCCCGCTGCCTCCCCATCGTGCCTACAAACATGTATCCCAAATGCTGCAGCGTGGCATCTCCCAGCTGCCCTGTGTATGGAAGTTGTTCCCTCTGCCTGCACCCCCACCCCCACATGTGTGCAGGGCCCCTGTCTCCAGGCGTGGGTGAACACACATTCCTCTCACAGGGACAGCTCGCTCACTCACACAGCTCCCCTAATGCGTGGCCACCAGGCAGCCCCTCCTGTGGGCCCCAGCTCTGCAGCAGCCCCCTGCCCGCCGCCCTGCAGCCCCCGTGGCCTTCCCCCAGGCTCCGGGCTGCAGCTAGAAGTTCCTCTCTGGTTCCCACTGCCCCCCTCTGCCCCCCTCTCCCCAATCTCACCCTGCTCAGTCTGGGAAGGCCTTGGAGGCATCTGGAAACTTGATAGTTAAGGAGCTGTGGGGAAAAAGGAGGAAAAATCCTCTATATTTTGGTCATGGAAAATCCTGCCAGATGGACTTATCCCACAACAGCAACCCAAGATTCTGAGAGCAACATAAATAAAAGATCCAAAAAGCCTCCGTCCTTGCTAGAGTTTTCTGTCTGGAATGGCTGAAAAATCACTCACAAGAGCGTGGTCAAATGGCTCTGAGAGGACAAAGGTGAGTCCAGAGGAGCAGCGCCAGGCGGCAAGCAGGTCCAGACCACCAAGCTGGGCAGCGGGTGTGGGGATGCAGGCCCGGCAGGCGTTTTTAGGGCAGCTGTGATGTCAGCGGAAGGGAGGGCTTGAGTGGGGACTGCGGTACAATGGCCCCTTTGTCCCCCTCCCCTGCTTTGTGGCACATGCTGAAGCCATGCTCCCGGCCCACCACGTGACTCAGGCCAGGAGCTGCACCTGGGGCCCAGCCACTCCAGGCCACCCCCACCGCTCGGTGCGCGTGTCCCCTCGGGTGCCTCCCATGTGCACCCACGCACCCACATGTGGATGTGGCCCATGCAGTGAGAAGGACGGTCACACCTCTGCCTGCAGCTTGGCCCAGTACTGCAGCTACTAGCCACCTGTGGCTAGTAAAATTCATTGCAATTAGATGCAATTAAAACTGGCGCTGCTCCCTTGCATGGTGGGGCCTCTTGTAGAAAGTGGGGAAGGAAGAGAGGCCACTTTCATGTGGCAGAAACGTGGGCCTCCAGCCTTCTGAGCCTGCAGCCCCGTACCTGGACTGACACTTGTCATTCCTGTTCACAAGCTGCACGCCTGCACTCAGGAGGCCGCCTCTCCCTTGCACTCTCTTCAGCCTCCCCCGTACCCAGCCCTGCATTGCAGCCTCAGGCCTCAGCGGCTCTGCTGGCCCGGGGGAGAGTGGCAGGGTGGAGATAGCAAAAATGGCAGCAGTGGCGGGGATTAAGGGCTAGGATGAATTTTGTAGCCCGGGAGAGCTTTGGAAATGACGCCACGATTGGGCAGAAGAATGAGAGACCCCATGAGACATTTGGCCTGGTGGGGGCACGCCAGCTGCAGGAAGAGGCACAAAGGCTTGCAGGTGTGGGGGAGTGTGGGCCTCTGCAGGAAATGTGGTCACCCTGTGGGAACGGCAGGTGTGGCCTGGGGAGGCGCACTGAGAGCGGGCAGGTGGAAGTGGCCCACCAGGTCCAGCTTTGGTTGCAGGCTCAAGATGCTTCTGGATTGCCCCTGGGGGGCAAAGAGGGGTTGGGCTCAGACACCCACAGCCAAGCACACCCTGCAGCCAACCCCTGGGAGCTATCTAGGCTGGCATCACCAATCAATCAGCGGCTCTCCTCGTCCCCCGTCACCTAACTTCGGGTGATCTGCCTATGAATAAATCTTCCATCACTCTCTCTAGATTAATTCCCTTTCCACACTGTCCTGAGTGTTAGGATTGCTAGTGAAGTATTAAAGACCCTAATTAATAACCAGAATTGCCTAAGAACAGCCCCGGCGGTAGTGCTGCAGGTGACCTGGCAGACTCATCCATCTCTCCGCAGGCCCCGGGGCAGCCACAGGCCTTTCCTGCCTTGGAGGTTTCTGCCCGAGGTGGGTGGGGCGAGAGCTGCCAACTTCTCCCCATCTCCGGGTCTCTGAGACCGGGTCCACTCCAGGCTCTGGCTCTTTAAATCCTCTGTGTCCCCACTGACCATATACTACTGCTCCCCTTCCCTGACCTGAGGGGACTGACCAGTCACGTGCCCTCTGGGGGCTTCAGGTGGGAGAGCAGGAGTCAGAGAGTGAGAGGAAATGGAAGGGAGAAGAAGGAGGAAGAGGATACAGATTTTTTTTTTAAGGATAAGGAATGGCAGAAAGCAGGGGCTGGGCAAAATGCCCTCTGCAGTTCACCCCACACCCAGGGGGTCTCGAGTACTGGGTACTTAGAAGGCCCAAGTGACCCCAGTGGCTTCTCAGGGCACCCCAGTCTTCCTGACAGACATCAGCTGTAAGAACCTTAACTGCCCAGGGCCCCTGAAGGAACTCCCTCCTCTGGAGGCCCCAGAGATTGAGCAGAGGCCTCTTCCTGGTCTCCTCTCAGGCCCCCAAGGAAGGCCCAGTGGCCCCTCCTCCTGTGCAGTGGAGCTCAGAGCGGGCATGGAGGGTGCAGAGGCCAGACCACCTGCAAGTCTGCCCAGGAAGAGGCCGGTGCCTCACTAGTCCCACCTCCCCCACCGGGTGGGCCTCCCAGAGTCCCCAACCCCCTGTTGTGCCCCCTGGGTGCCCACAGCGGTAGAGAGAGCAGTGAGAGTTGATGGTGGTGATTTGAGAGTGGGCTTGAGGTTGGGCAGCCTGGGACCTGAAGGGAAGTGTGTGCGTGGGGGTGTATGTGTGGGTGTATGGGGGAGTGTGTGTTGCTGGAAGTCTGGGTTCTCTACCGCACCACAGGGCTCAGGAAACCAGCAAGGAGGACTGCAAGAGGGAGAAAAATCAAAGAGGAAAGAGAAGGGATGGAGGCATGAGAAAGTCAGAGGAAGGAGGGACCATGGGGCGCTAGTGGAAAGCAGGTGGTGTGCAGGAAGGAGACCCCACCCCCCACCCCAAAACTCCCTCCCCCAG